TATATATATATATATATATATATACAAACTGGATTCCCAAAAAAACAAATTGTGAATAAAAACTGAATGCAATGCTGTGGAGGTGCCACCATCTAATATTTTATTCAGAATGTAACACAAATCACAGATCAAAAGTTTAAACTGAGAGAATGTATCATTTTAAGGGAAAAATCTGTTGTTTCCAAATTTCATGGCAACAAACCCCCAAAAAGTTGGGACAAGTCTATTTTTACCACTGTGTGACATCCCTCCCTTCTTCTTACAACACTCAACAGACGTCTGGGGACAGAGGAGACCAGTTTCTCAAGTTTAGAAATAGGAATGCTCTCCCATTCATGTCTAATACAGGCCTCTAACTGTTCAATCGTCTTGGGCCTTCTTTGTCGCACCTTCCTCTTTATGATGCGCCAAATGTTCTTTGTAGGTGAAAGATCTGGACTGCAGGCTGGCCATTTCAGTACCCGGACCCTTCTCCTACATAGCCATGATGTTGTGATTGCTGTAGAATGTGGTCTGGCATTATCGTGTTGAAAAATGCAGGGTCTTCCCTGAAAGAGATGACGTCTAGATGGGAGCATATGTTGTTCTAGAACCTGAACATAGTTCTCTGCATTAATGGTGCCTTTCCAGACATGCAAGCTGCCCATGCCACAAGCGCTCATGCAACCCCATACCATCAGTGATGCAGGCTTCTGAATGGAGCGTTGATAACAACTTGGGCTATCCTTGTCCTCTCTGGTCCGGATAACATGGCATCCCAGTGTTCCATAAAGAACTTGAAATCGTGACTCATCTGACCACAGAACAGTCTTCCATTTTGTCACACTCCATTTTAAATGACCCCTGGTCCAGTGCAAATGTCTGAGCTTGTGGAGCTTGCTTAGAAATGGCTTCCTCTTTGCACTGTAGAGTTTCAGCTGGCAACGGCGGATGGCACGGTGAATTGTGTTCACTGACAATGCTTTCTGGAAGTATTCCTGAGCCCATTCTGTTATTTCCTTGACAGTGACATTCCTGTTTGAGGTGCAGTGATGTTTAAGGGCCCGGAGATCACGAGCATCCAGTAGAGTTTTACGGCCTTGACCCTTACGCACAGCGCTTGTTCCAGATTCTCTGAATCTTTTGATGATGTTATGCACGGTTGATGATGATAACTTAAAAGTCTTTGCTATTTTATGCTGGGTAACACCATTCTGGAGACACACCTGCTCCTGGTGTCTGCGAGAGGTCCCAGGACGCTGTAATGTTTGTATTCATAAAAATGAATATAACATCAAGAGCTGGTTCTTATGCTAGCTTCAGCTAGCTCCTTTTATTATAATTTTCTTCTTCTGTCCTTTAATGTACATACAGATTTCCTTTACTCCCCCTAGTGGCTGATCCTTTAATAACAGCTATCATTACATCCCCTTTTATAACAGGTTGATTATAATAACCTAAACTCTTAAAGCACTGTCATTCTGTAAGTTCTAACACTCCTGACAGTCATCATGTTACATTTAGAACAACAACTATGTTTCTTAGCAAGAATGTTTTTGTTTTTAAATAACACAGGATGAACAAAATAAATTCAAGTGTCTACTTCCCATTACAACCTGCAAACATCAGTTTCAAACGAAACAATATCAAGGCTCTTATTGCAAATTTTTAACAATATATATATATATTTTTTTTTCACAACAACAATTCACAGTTGTTCTATGAGCCTCTCTGGTGGTTTCTTGGGTCGGGAAGATCTTCTCAGTGTCTCGGTCATAAGTGACGGTGAAAGACGTTCACGGTGGTGTCCATCTGGTGTAACACACTGTTGTTCTGATTCAGCCTCTTCAAACTTATGATTGACATCCTGGGTCTTTCACAGACTCCTCCTATTTCTTCTTAACACTTGTCCATTTTCCGTCTTAACAGCAAACTAACTGGGTCCTACTTCACTCAGCACTGTTGCTTTTCTGTCCCAGAAATCAGGACCTGAAATCTTCACAACGTCTTGTTCCTGAAGAGGTTCCAGACGCCTTGCCGTTCTGTCATAGTTCCTTTTCTGTCTGTACTTGAGTTTCATCCTTTTGTCCAAAAGCTTGTTGTTACGTTTATCACTCTCCTTTAAAACATGTGGAAGTGTGGTACAAAGCTTGCAATGCATTAGAAGCTCAGCAGGTGATGACCCACACTCCAGAGGTGAAG